ATCTCAATAAAAATTAGAACACAAGTCACCATACTAGTACAGTAAAACCTGCAAAAGCTGAAAGCTGTGTAAGGCAGAACCCTATCAGAGAAGGAAAACTCAAATATTTTCCACCAAAATGAGTACAGAAAAGTGGTTAAGACGGCATCCTGTCAAAGGTGGAAAACTTACAAGACCCAGGAAAACAAGGCAGTCCCGCTGAGTTCTCGCTCTCACAGGTTTCACTGTATTATTTTCTCTAAGCCATTTATACATGTACATAACTGGTATTTCATAGTGCAAACCATCTTGAATCTATTTGTAAAGCTGGATAAATAGGACTTTCCAAACAAACCCCCTTTATCTCTCTACTATTCGGCCTGTAACTAAAAACAATAATAATTTAACTAGCTACATCGGCCAAGATTGTAATCAGTTACCAAGTATTTAAATTCTACGAAGTCATCTATAGTAAATTTGCAGCTGTTTATAATATCTACAAAAGTGCAAAATTTATTAAGACCCTTGAGCTTGTCAGGTGTCATGTGACAGGCTTTGGCCTCCCTGGCGTAACCTAAGGATTCAGTCTCCAGCAAAAATCTGAGCCACCTGAGTGTGCTTTATTCCAGGCTGGTATTCAGGAGGCAGACACTTGCCTAAACAGTGAAACGTGTTGGCCTCCCAGGATCTAACTGTTCTATTGGGTGGATATTTACGAAGCTATACGTTCCAGTGGCATCTAAGAATCTGGGAATGTGAAGGGCTGTGGGGATATACCTCTCCGAAGTGTCAAGGTCATCTACACAAGCCAGGAAGGTAATTAACATGGGTGAGGCTTGGGTTGAGGGTAAGACAACATGGAGTAGTGGGGACTTGAACAGGAAAGCGTATCTCCCACCTAAGGGAGGCACTTCTCCCCACCCAGCACATGCAGATCCCAGAGATATGAGAACATAGGATCTGTGTGCCCAAATATCCCAACTTTTTAAACAAATCTTGATTTTCAGGTTAAAGTTACAAATATTAGAAAAGGCCAATAAAATGCCAACAGGTTGAATGCAGCCCACAGAGTACCAGTTAGGTCTACTGTAATCAGGGCTACCTTTAGCCTATGTGGCACCTTTGTCCAAACTTAAAAAGGTGCTCCTTAGGAAGACCAACAAGAAAAAGATACCCTTTATGGGAAACCAAATAGAAAAAGGTAACACATAGCTTGTCAAGTGGAAGGCAGGCCAAATTTCAATGCCCAGTTGCCCCCTTGACCAGGTGCTCACAAACAGTGGAACATTATGAAGCTGCCCTCACAATAAATATCAGACAGAAAACAAAAGTCAGAAACAAGGAAAACTAAATCAATCATAAAATGCACTTTAGAATGCCCAGTACAGCCATGGTTCCCAGAGGCCAGTGTGAAGACTGGCTGCATGAGAGTTACCTGGACAAAACCAAAACCATACCTGTTGCCGTCAAGTTGATTCTGACTCATAGCAACCCTATAGGACAGAGGAGAACTACCCCATAGGGTTTCCAAGCCTGTAAATCTTTAAGGAAGCAGACTGCCACATCTTTCTCCCACAGAGTGGCTGGTGGATCAAACTGCTAACTTTGGGTTTACAGCTGAGCACTTTAACCACTGTGCCACCAGGACTCAGTCACCTGGACAGGACATTGCAAATCCTCAGACCTACTGGATCAGAGGAAACCATGGTGGCGTAATGGTTAAGTGCTACGGCTGTTAACCAGAAGGTTGTCAGTTCAAATCCACCAGACGCTCCTTGGAAACTATGCGACAGTTCTACTCTGTCCTATAGGGTCGCTACGAGTCAGAATCGACTCGATGGCAACGGGTTTTACCGGATCAGAATGTGTGGTACAGTGCCTGGGAATCTGTATTTTTAAGATGTTACTCCTCTCCCAAATGCACACAAGCCTCCAAGTCACTATGACTCTCTGGTAGGTTTAGAAAGCTCTGTGGGTTTTTTATATATAAGAAACAAAAGTATTCCTCTTGTCTAAGGAATTAAAATCACTATGAGCTACCTTTAACACTCTAGGTTGTTCTGTCAGTTGTTCTTTCTAGACAACTCTGAATGACAAATGTTCATTTTAAATGTGAGATTCACAAAGTTTTTGGAGTGGATGCTTACAAAATGATACCTGATGATGACAATAAATATCTTCACTTGCACAGGGTAATAACCATGTGGTACTTAAGAAGGTCGAAGGTGTAAATTGAGCTTCTTATGCAAAAATCCATAGCCTAATGCCTGGCATATAAAAAGTACTCAATAACTGTATACAAAGATAGATGGGTGGATGGATGGACAGATGGATGGACAGGTAGGAAGAAGGGAGGGAGAGAATGAAGAAGAAAAGATAAATTAATGGCCCAAAACAACAACTCAAAGATATCTAAGATTGATGTGGTGTAAATTGAATCAATTAATGAACTATAACTTATCTTAAGCAATATGATAACTCGCATGACATGATAGGGCTTTAAATAAAATCATCCAACCAATGAAACCTAAGAAAATCTGTCTTGCTATAACTTTTTCATACTTTAAAAATGCAATTAGATAACATGTTCATGCTTTTGTTCTACCTCCTAGTTCACTGCATAGTGCCTTGGGGGTCTTAAAAGCTTGCAAGCAGCCATCTAAGGCACAACAATTAGTCTCTATTCACCTGGAGGAAAAAGGAGAGTCAGGAGTAGGAGGAGGAAATGGAATGTGTGGCTAACAGCCTCCATAAATAACTGCCTCCTTTGCCATGAGACCGGAAGAACTGGATGGTGTCCAGCTACCATTACTAAACATTTTGATCAAAAATTCTATAGAAGAATCTTGATCAAAAGGGGGAAAATGCAGAATAGACTTCATATTCTCATTGACTCCAGACTTTCTGGAGCCATGGAGGCTGGATGAACCCCTGAAATTACTGCCCTGAGATGATCTTTAAACTTTAAACCAAATATAGACCCTGAAGTCTTTAAAACCAAACAAGAGTTTCGCTTAACCAGTAAAAAAAAATGTTTGCCTTGAGCATTATGCTGTTTTAAGGTCTAACTATATGGGATCAAACTGACAACAGCAACTTGAAAGATTAGATAGGAACCTTAGGTGACAGTAAGTTTATGTCAATGGGGAAGGAACAACTCAGAAAAGGAGGGTGAGAATGGTTGTACAACTCAAAGAATGTAATCAATGCCACTGAATTGTACATGTAGAAACCGTTGGATTGGTGTATGTTTTGCTGTGTGTATTCTCAACAACAACAAATAAATAAAAAAAATTTTTTTAAATGCATTTAGGACCGAATTAAATCTTGAATGCAAACTCTCTTAAACTATAGTCTACAAAGACACAATAGTCAATCTTCCATTTACACAGGAGAAAAAAAAAAATCCAGTAACTACAATATCATAATATTACCTTTATTACTCCATACTGAAAGTGCAATTTCAGAATTGTTATTCAAAGGAAGGCGTCTTCCTTTCCCTACAAGCTCTCTATTTACAAAGGTTCCATTCCCACTGTGATCTTCTATGTATGCGATGTAAGAGTTTTTAGGACCCATTTCCTAAAATAGAGAACATTTTGTTTTAAAGTTTTAACAGAGGGGATTTATAGTGGAATGATATCTAAGAGTGATGACTAGATTACCAGCTCTCCCAAGTATATGGATATTTGTCACTTACTCTGAAAATCCGAAAGTGTTTCTTGCTATATGTCCGGTATTTGTCTGTTCTTTTCAGCAGTGGCTCATCAAAGCAATATTCACAGCTTCTGTCCCTCCCAAACCAGTAGTTGTCATTAACACACTCTGTAACACAAAAGCATACACCAGAGAAATTCAATACATTAAATTTCATGTATCAAACATATTGAAAAAATGTTCATAAATTCTACTTGAAGGAAAATAGCCTAAGAAGGTGATCAAATTATAGATTTGTTTACAAAAGATTTTATAATATTCAAAATTAATGGGGAAAATAAAATTTTCCAACAATGGGTTTAATATATAACCATGAAATAATAAGCAGTCATTAAAAGTTATCAAATAACCTTAATGACTTATAATAATACTTATAATGTAATAACTTCCTGCTTAATTCTCTCCGAAGGTTTTCCACCATACTTAGCATAAAAACTATACTCCTCCTCATTGCCTACTAGCAGCAAGATGTGGCCCCTGCCTCCTTTCCAACCATATTTTATACCCCTAGCCCCTTGCTAACTGTACATCAACCCCAAACAGGCTGGGCTCACACCTGCCTCAGGGCCTTTGCGCTTCCCCTCCCCTCAGCTACTTGAATGGCTCATTCCATCTTGTTTTCAGGGCTAGACTCAAATATCATCATCTCCCACTAGACTTTCTACATGAGCAAACCCCCACCCCCTCATCCACCTCTCATCATAATGACATCCTGTTTTACTTCCTTCTTAGTATGGACCATAATTGTAAATTATCTTGATTATCTATATATTATCTCCCCTCATTAGAACAAAAACTCCAGCCTTGGGTCACTTGTTTAAGAATACAGTGCAAACACCTAGGAAAATTCAAATGGCAGGCAACTAAATATTCAAAAAATAAACGAAAGAAATACAAGTAACTTATATTAAAGACAAAGAATTAATTCCCCTAACATAAATAAAGTGCCTACAAATCAGTAAGACAAACACCCCAACAGAAAATGGGTAAAGAATACAAAGAGATAATTTACAAGAGGTGGAAATACAAATGGCTCAAGTATATGAAAAGATACACGAGCTAACTCAATCCAAGACATTTTCAAAAACAAAACTATATTAGCATTCCATGTTTCATCTATCCAACTGATAAAGATCAAAAACTCTCTTATTACTCCAGTGTCCATCAACAGACAAATGAACAAACAAAATGTGGTGTATATGTATACAACAAAATATTAGGTACTATATAAAATCCAACACCTCTTTATGATAAAATAATACTTAAAAAACTAGGAATAGGAGGGAACTTGCTAAACCTGATAAAGGACATCTACCAAGAAAAAAAAAAAAACCCACAGGTAACATTATACTAACTACGAGGCAGTTCTACGCTGTCCTATAGGGTAGTTATGAGTCGGAAATGACTCTACAGCAACGAGTTGTTTTTTTTAAACATTATACTTAATGGTGAAAAACTGAACACTTTCGCTTTAAGATAGGAATAAGACAAGGATGTCCACTCTCCCTATTTCTGTTCAACAGTGTATTAGAGGTTTTAGCCAGGGCAATTAGGACAGAAAAAGAAATAGAAAGCATCCAGATTGGAAAGAAAGATGACACAATCTTGAGTATAGAAAATCCATAAAAAGGAATAAGGTTCTGATATATACTACAAATGGATGAATCTTGAAGACATGCTAAGTAAAATAAGCCAGACACAAAAGGACATATATTATATGATCCCACTTACATGAGGTATGTACTTAGAACAGGCAAATTCATAGGGACAAAAATAGAGAATAGAGGTTTCCCAGGGCTGAGGGGAGGGGATAACAAGGAGTTATTATTTAATAAGTATAGAGTTTCTGTTTGGGATGATAAAAAATCTGGAAATAGACAGTAGTGATAGTTACACAACACTGTGAATGTAGTAATGCCACTGAATTGTACGCTCAAAAATGGTTAAAATGGCAAACTATCTTATGTATATTTTATAACAATTTTTTAAAAAGTCTCATATTAAACTGTGTTGGCAATCGACATGGACAAGTAGGCATAATCACACATTACCAGGAGAAATGTAAATTTACACACAGTGTAGGAAAAACAATTAGGCAAAATAAATCAAAATTACATATGCACACAGCCTACTATGGATTGAATTGTGTCCCCCCCAAAATATGTGTTAGAATTCTAACCCCTATACTTGTGACCTGACCCAAGCCACAGTCTTTTCAATCGCCTCATATGCATGTGAAAGCTGGACAATGAAAAAGGAAGACAGAAAAAAAACTGATACATTCGAACTGTGGCGTTGGGGAAGAATACTGAAAATTCTGTAGACTACCAGAAGAATGAACAAATCAGACTTGGAAGAAATACAACTAGAATGCTCCTTAGAAGCAAGGATAGCCAGACTTCAGCTTGCTTACTTTGGACATGTCATCAGGAAAGACCAATCATTGGAAAAGGACATCAAGGTTGGTAAAGTAGATGGTCAGTGAAAATGAGGGAAACCTTCACTGAGATGGATTGACACAACAGCTACAACAATGGACTCAAACATCCCAACTATCATGAAGAGGGATTAGAACCAGACAATATTTCACTCTGTTGTATATAAGGCCGTTATGTGTCACGGCCAACTTGAGGACACCTAACAACAACATATCTGTGGGTGTAATCTAACCTAATAAAATGTAATCACTTTCCATAATGTAATCAATCAAACAGCTGAGGTCATACTACTATAGGGTAGATAGAAAACCTAATCACTTCTGAGTTCCAGAAAAAGCATCACAGACACAAGCATTCATGCACATAGAGAGGAAGACAGATAGCATGTGACCACCCTCTACAAGCCAAGGAACCAAGGAATACCCAGGGCTACCAGACCTGTGAGAAATTAAGTTTCTGTTCTTTAAAGCCACCCACTAATGGTATTTGTGTTACAGCAGCACTAGCTAACTAAGACACATCCACTGACCCAGAAATTCCACTTCAAAAAATTTATCCTTCACCCAGTTACCACCACCAACTGCTCTGGCAAGGATCACAATAGAGGTCCCAGACAGAGAGGGAGAAAAATGTAGAACAAAACTCAAAATTCACAAAAAAAAAAAAGACCAGGCTCGCAGAGACTGGAGAAACCCCAGTAGTATAGTCCCCAGACACCCTTTTAACTCAGTACTGAAATTACTCCTGAGGTTACTCTTCAGTCAAAGATTAGAAAGGACTATAGGGCCAACAGTAACACATGTGAGGGATGTGCTTCATAGTTCAATCATGTATACAAGACTAATGGGCACACCAGCCCAAAAGCAAAGATGAGAAGGAGGAAGGGACAGGAAAACCGGATGAACAGAAACAGAGAACCTGGAGTGGAGAAGAGGAGAGTGCTGAAACATCGCAGGGTTGGCAACCAACATCACAAAACAATTTGTGCATTAACTGTTTAATGAGAAACTAATCTGCTCTGTAAACTGTCACCTGAATCACAGCTTTAAAAAAAATTTATCCTGCAACTTTCACCAAAAGCACAACTAAAAACAAAAAAAAAAATTTTTAAAAAGAAAGGTGAAAGGAAAAAAAAAACTTATCCTGCAACACTGTCCTGGCACAGACCAGTAATGTGAAACTTGCCTCCAAAAATGGAGGGCATCAAGAGACCAAATAAAGAGGCAGGCAACTCCAGGGTGACAGCAAAGGAGCTTATTAGGGCAACTTACATATGAGGCAGGTCCTGGGCAGCACCAGGACCAAGTCGATCTCCATGACCCACAGTGGGAGACAGAGATTTTATAGTGGTGGTGAACAATAGTGTCTACATGCCAGGGATGCCTCTAACTTATATAAGGCTGCCTCAGCAAGAATTACGTAAGAATGACTTAGCAAATGGCAGTGAACTACTGGAAAGCATGAGGGCAGCCATGTTTGGCCGTTTCCCCTTCAAACACATAGAATCGTACACATTATGAAAAGACCTAAAGGACATATGTACAAGGTCATTTCATTATAGAATTACTCTTACAGCAAAAGATTGGAAACAATTTAAATGTCCATTAATAAAGGGCTGGTTCAATAAATGTATATACATACATATAAAAAGAAATAAATATCTTTACATTCTGATAGAAGGATGTCTAAGATACATTGTTAAGTGTAAAAAGCAAGTTGCAGAACAAGATGTATGTTAGCAATAGTATAAAATAAAGGGAAAAAAGAACATATACAGACACCTAGTTGCTTATATATACATCAAACATCTCTGTAAGGATACATAAGAAATCAGCGGTATTGGGAAGTAGTCAGGGGAAGGACAGAAGTTGGATGAAGACTTAGCACCTCTTCTGAATTTTGTAACTTATACAAATATAATGTATTCGAAAAATTAATTATTTATATTGTACCAGAGTTCAAGGTAGCCCACAAAAGTCACAAACCAACAGCAATGACAACAAAAAAAAATATGTGCAGGTATATATGCATGTATGTATGTAGACATGCGTCTAGGTATGTACATGTGAGCATGTATGTGTGTATATATAGGTGCATCCATACGTATATGCATGTGCACGTATGTGACTGTATGCACATATATTCATATACATGATAAAGCACATACGAGGCACAGTTATGAATACTTCTTAGACATAACCAAACACCATACAGCATTGGCTTCCTGGGTTTGAAGACTTAGGGCCACCATTCCCGTGGGACATCTCGGTCAACTGGTATAATATAGTTCATAAAGTCTATGTTCTACATCCTAGTTTGGTGAGTAGTGTCTGGGGTGTTAAAGCTTGCAAGCAGCCATCTAAGATACAACTATTGGTCTCTATGCATCCAGAGCAAAGGAGAAAGAAGGAAACCAAAGACTCAAAGAAGCCTCTAGTCTACAAGACTAATAGTCTACATAAACCATGCCTCATCATCTACCCTGAGATCAGAAGAACTAGATGGTGCCCAGCTACTACTACCAACCATTCTGATTAGGGCCACAATAGATGTACTCTGATAAAATGGAAGAAAAATGTGGACCAGAACCTCAAATTCCTTAAAAAAAAAAAAAGAAACAAACGAAATAGACTTACTGGACCAGTTGAGACCACAGGACTCGCCAAGACG